TCGGTCGAGCGGTACGATCCCTCTCTACGAATGCGTGGGAGGCGGTGGCGGCGATGGGGGAGGCGCGGGAGGCTCATGCCGTGGCGGCGCTCGACGGCAAGCTGTACGCTGTGGGGGGGTTCGGTGGTGGCGCCAGCTGCTCGCTCGGCGGTGGCGCCAGCTGCTCGCTTGAGAGATACGATCCCGCCACGAACGCGTGGGAGGCGGCTGCGCCGTTGACGACCCCGCACGACTGTTACATGCCATCACCGTGGCGTAGGTTTCTCTGTGCCAACTTCTCCAGACCCTGCTGTGTGCTGAACAAGGCGCATGCAGCATGCCACATCGCAGACGCTGCTTGCCATCCAGGACCAGCAGAACGTGCGCGTACGGCTTTATCGTCTATCGACTTGGCACAGAGGGACGCCCTCGCCCACGCCGGACGCCTCCGCGCTCCCGTTCCCTGACCCTGTCGTGGCTGTGCGCTGTTGGCCCCTGATTGAACATTGTCCGCTTACACAAGAATCTGCTGCTTGCAGGGTGGAGCGATTCTAAGATCAGGTCTACCACTGGGCGAAAATCGGCCGTCCCTCAGTGCTTCCAGCCTGCCCGCTTCAGTTTCCTCAATTGGCTTGAATTTTGCTTGGTAGAAAAAAGAATAGCGCCGACGGCGGGCCGCCGGAGCGGGCATTTCGAAGTGGTCAGCGGGCATTTCGAAGTGGTGCGGCGGCAGGCTGCCACCGCTGCCCGGGCGCCCCGAGCGGCGGCGGAGGGCCGCCCAGGCCACCACCAGTGCCCCTCCCACCGGCGGCGCGGCGGCAGCGGCGCCGACCGCCCCTCCATCAGCGGTGGCGCGACGGCTGTCGTCGGGGCGCCGGCAGGTGCCGCGCGCAGAGGGTGCCACCGGACCGGCTGACGCGCGCCCGGCGGAACCTTCGTCGTCCATGGCGGGCCGAGCACCCCCGCGTCGCTTCTCGGCGCATTGGAGAGCAGAGGAAGCTGCTGGCGTCGCCGCTGGGATCGGCGGCGGCGCCAGCAGCGTTCTCGGATCTGAAGCCGACTTTGAGCGCCGATCGATCGATCTGAGGGCTGGCCGATGGGTGGCGCTGGGACATCGCCGCCGCCGCGGAGGCCGGCGGCGACCAGAGGAGCGGTTGGGGCGCGTGGCGCATATGTTACCTGCCAAGTGAGCATTCAAGTGTGCTTCGAGATTTATTCGAGATTTGAAACTTAGATTTTCGTTTCCAGCGGGGAGGTGGCAGACCTGATCTTAGAATCGCTCGGTGAAAGCTGAAAGCTACAAAACAACAACAACAAAGTTGTAACGACGCTTCCCGATCCACAGAACTCAGACGACCGAAATGTGCACGGGCGGCTAGCGGCCTAGCGCGAGAGCCGTACACAGAGAAACTGAGACCGGCGGCTACTTGCCTGGTCGCGGCGGCGCGGGCGGCGGCGACTGCGGCGGCGGCGGCAGCGGCGGGGAGGAGGACATGCGAGAAGAGACGCGCGTCATCTCGGGCGAGAGGCAGAGCGGCGTGGTGAGCCCGGCGGCAAGTGCCTCCTCGGCGACCTCGTGCCTACCCGCAAGAGGTGCGGCCGTCACGGCGGGGCCTCCTCTCCCTTCCCCCGCCGCGGTGGCCGCGCCTCCGGTCGGGCCGCCCTCCAAAGATGGGCTTCATGTAGTGCTGGTCGAGCGCCCTCCACGCACGATGGATGTGGCGCCTATTCATTTAACATTAAAGTAATTAAATATTAATTAAGGATCGTCGCACGATGGATGTGGCGCCTACGAGAGGCCGCGGCACGGGTGGCCGTGAGAAGCCCCACACCGGCAGTAGCCTCGATGAGGCGGCATTGTTCCAGTCGCGAGGCTAGGCAGCCATGGCCAGGCGGGGCGAGGCGGCGGCGCGGTGCAAGCAGCACCCTGGCCGCCAGACGCGACCAGGGAGGCGTGGCGTCGCACGCATGTCTACACTGCGGGTGGCCCAGCGGCGGCGTGTGCGCTTCTCCTCTCCTCTCCTCTCCTCTCCTCTCCTGCATCTACGCTGCGGGTGCCCCAGCGGCGGCGTGTGCACGTCGCGCCCGTCACACGAAGCGGTGGCAGCGCGAGGTCTGGAGCCGCCCGCCGCCCCCGGCTCGCCCCCGTCTCCCGCCTGGGGCAGCAAGCTCGCGCCGAGCGGGTCCCCCCCCCCCGAGGGGAACCTGCGCACCGCGGGCGGCTGCTTGGGGCGTGTGGAGGAGGGCGACGCGTCGAGAGGGGTCCGAAGGGTGCGAGAGGGGTGCGAGAGTGGGGCGTGTCCTTGGTGTCTCGGTGGCTGCGGTAGTCCTGCAGTGGCCAGTGATGGCTGCACCGCGTCCGTCTCTCGGTCGCGTCTTCTCGGCGACATCCTGGCTACATCTCGGCGACATCTCGGCGACATCTCGGCGACATCTCGGCGAGATCTCGGCCAGATCTCGGCCAGATCTCGGCCAGATCTCGGCCAGATCTCGGCCAGATCTCGGCTAGCTGCCGGGGGTCGCCTTCGCTCGAGTTTGACGCGGCGCAGGAGCGGCGCGGTGAGCGGCGCGATGCAGAGGTTGGTGAAGACGATGACGGCGAGGGTTGTGGTGACGATTGCCTGGTGCGCGACATGGTGAGGCTCACGCCACTGTCACTGCCACCTCCCAGTGCACTCCAAGTCTGACACGGGGTGCGTGGGGCGGGATGGACGTGTGTGTGTATTGCCTGCGCCAGGTTGTGCTGTGCGCGTGGCGGTCATGCTGCGTGACAGGGCCCGCCACGGCCTCGGCATGTCTCCCCACATCTCCCCACATCTCCCCACATCTCCCCACATCTCCCCACATCTCGGCTGCGTGAGAGGTCCCGCTCTGGGCTCGGCCCGCGGCTGCGCTGTGGCATCCCTTCTCGCCACGAGGTGTGCGGAGAGTGTCCGGGTGTGAAGACGGTCTCGCGAGGGGGGCTAGTCGCTTGCCCGTCGCCTTTGCGTGCGCCGGAGGCATCACCTGCCTCTCTGGCCGCGGGTCGTCGAGCGTCATGGCGAGCGCAAACGAGACGGCGCCTCGCAGCCCCGACCACCTGTTCGCACCACCCTCCCGCCTCTACTCCTGCACGCGTCTCTGCCTCCTCTCCCCCTCTCGCCGGCCTCGCCACATCACCAGCTGCATGCGGCACGAGATCTGGTCGGCGCGGCGGCGGCAGCAGTTGGCGAGCTCTGTGAGCGGGAAGATGTTGAGCGCGCGCGCGAGCAGCAGCACGACGACGGAGGAGAGGACGAAGGAGAAGTCCCACACCTGCCGAGATCTAGCCGAGATCTAGCCGAGATCTAGCCGAGATCTAGCCGAGATCTAGCCGAGAGGAAGATCCCACACCCTGCCCGGAATGGCCGAGTGCAGCCGAGAGGCGGCCGAGGAAGGAGGGGGTCTCTCTCGCCTCGTGGCCCTGCACTCCGTCGACGCGCACGTCGGTCCAGCCGTGGACGAGGTAGTCGATGACGGCGATGCCGAGGATGATGGAGAGGGCGATGTCGCAGAGGGAGGCGAGGGTGGCGAAGAGGGTGCGCGAGGTTGCTTGGGCGGCGGGCGAGAGGTTGTAGTAGGTGTAGTGCCGCATCGTGACGCCGGCGAAGAAGAGGGACAGGATGCCCGAGAGGGCGACCTCGTCGGTGAGCGTGTAGGTGAGCAGCGCGGTGACCAGCAGCAGGGACAGCTCCGCGTACGCGCGCGACTGGTGCTGCATCCCGAGCCGCTTGGTCGCCAGGGCGGTGAGGAGGCCCGCGCTGACTCCGATCAGCAGGGAGAGCGGCAGGATCTGGACGAGCTGCTCTGACGCGAGTGTCATCGTCCCTTCGAGCGGTAGGTACCAAGGCGGAGGCGGCGGCGCGGCGGGGGCGGGGGCGGGGGGCAGCTCTTCGGCGGAGAGCACGCCGTCGAGTAATGTATGCCCGTGGTGAGGCTCGCGGTACGTCCGGCCAGGAGGCCACTCTTTCCCAGGAGGCCACGCTTCGTAGGGCCAGCGCTGGTAAGGCCAGCGCGAGTGGCGGAGGGGCCTAGAGGTATACGAGTGCCGAGCATGAACACACGAGGGGCGGTCCGGGCATGAGGACAGCGTCGCGGAAGCAACGGCTGCTCACACAGAGCCTCACACGGCGGCTCGCGTTCTAGAGAGTCATCTGTTCCGCATCTCATCTGCTCCGCATCTGTCCCGCATCTGCTCCGCATCTGCCCCGCATCTGTCCCGCATCTGTCCCGCATCTGTCCCGCATCTAGGGGTCCCGGACCAGCGGTCGGGTCCTTCGTGCGGCCCTTTCTGGTGCGACTTGCCCGCCCACTCGGATCCGCACCGGTGCCGGAAGATGTTGAACAGGACCTATGGCACATATGCCACGCAAGGGTCACGCACACGTGCTCGGCACGTCGCCGAAGCAGCGGGCCGAAGATCCACAATCGAGAGCGCGTCGTTGAGCGCAGCCTCGCCGAAGACGAGGTCGTAGAGGAGCGGCGGCGCCTTCACACGCAAACACACAGCCCTGGGCTCAAGGTCGCGCACCGACAGTCGAGAGCGGACAGACCGCGACGACAGCCATGAGGCAGCACTGGGTCCGA